CTGGAGCCTGGCCGAGGTAAGAGCCACGCAGGCCGTTGTGGGGAGCCGGGGACCTTCCACCGGCTCTGCACAGGGGGCCCAAGGGGTGGGGACACGGGCGGGGGGCTGCTCTTGACCCCCCCCCATCCCAGCAGGTGGAGGTTCCACAGCTCCCAGCCTGCCTCTGGCTTCCAGAGCTTGGCCAGGGGGCAGGGGTGGAGCCACAGAGGGGGCGGAGCCCTGTGGCACCCCCCCCCCACTATTAAGAAGAAGCTGTCGCCCCTGATTATAGGGAGAGGTCGGACGATGGGGGGGGTCAGACAATAAGTATTAAATGACAATAGATGTTGAGATTCAAAAAGTGAAAGCTTTATAGAATCTCCGGGTTGGAAGGGACCTCAGAAGGTCATCTAGCCCAACCCCCTGCTCAAAGCAGGACCAATCCCCAATTTTTGCGCTGATCCCTAAATGGCCCCCTCAAGGATTGAACTCACAACCCTGGGTTTAGGAGGCTAACACTCAAACCACTAAGCTATCCATCTCCAAACACAAGCTGTTAACATCACGTGTCAAAACATCCCAAGTAAATCTCCTTAGCGCCGCTGTTCTCCAGCCGGGTCTGACGCCCGGTGCCTCTCTGCACATTTCACTGTGAGCGATGGAAGGCTTTGCTCCTTGTGTTGTGTGCGCGCGGGGTGCAGGCAGACGACCAGTGCCTGAGCCGCGGTCTCTGCCCCAAGTGGGCAGACACAGAGCAGCGCCCGCCCCAGGGCCCAGCGGGCGGAGGGAGCTGAAGGCAGCTGCCCAGCAATGGCAGGCTGACCCGAGGGGTGTGGCTGTGGTCGAATCCAAGCAGCTCCCAAGGGCCGAGGCCGGGGATGCTCTGTGGCTAGCTCTGCCGGTGTTACTGATTATGGCTATTATGTTCATTTCATTAGGTGAAGGACTAGGCCCTCCGGCCTGGAGAGCTACTATTATCCCTACCCCCATCTAATTGCCGCCTTGGGCTTGCTCGCCTTCGCAGCAGTCAGCAGCGATTGTCTCCGGCTGGTGCCAGCGTGCCCCAGGGATGGGCAGCCAAGCGCTAAGGCAGGATGTCTCGGGTGTCTCCTCCGGATCCTGAGGCAAAGGGCCTGGCTGTCTGGGGTCTACCCGTGTGAGGAGCTGGGGTAGGTGCACTCGCTTGGCTCCAAACCTGCCCTTGGGGTTTGGGGGATGCTTCATGCCTGTCGTGGCTGCAGGTCTCAGTGTCTGGCCAGGCTGGGCTGCGATGCTGCCAGGAAAACCTGGGGCTCCCACAGTTCAGTCTCCCCCAAGCTCTGTGCTGCAAACAACAGCGTCCAAACAACCCAACTGAGGCCATGGTGGCCAGGCTGACAGTGCAGGCAGGGGCCTTCCAGAAGAACATGAGAACCGCCAGACTGGGTCAGCCCAATGGCCCACCCAGCCCAGTGTCCTGTCTGCCGCCAGCGGCCAGTGCCAGGTGCTTCAGAGGGAGTGAACAGAACAGAGCAGTTATCGAGTGATCCGTCCCCTGACCTCTGGTCCAAGTTTCTGGCAGTCAGAGGCTTAGGGAAACCTGGAACATGGGGTTGTGTCCCTGCCCATCCTGGCTAACAACCATTGATGGACCTGTCCTCCAGGAACTTACCTAGTTCTTGTTTAAACCCAGTTATACTTTTGGTCTTCACAACATCCCCTGGCAACAAGTTCCACAGGTTGACTGTGTGTTGTGTGAAGAAACACTTCCTTTGGTTTGCTTTAAACCTGCTGCCTCTTAATTTCCTTGGGTGACCCCTGATTCTTATGTTATGGGAAGTGGTAAATAGCACATCCCTAGTCACTCTCTCCACATCAGCCAAGATTTATGGACCTCTCTCATCTCCCCCTGAGTCGTCTCTTTTCCAAGCTGAACAGTCCCAGGCTTATTAATCTCTCCTCATACGGAAGCCGTTCCACACCCCTCATCATTTGTGTTGCTCTTGTCTGCAGCTTTCCCAATTTGAATGTTATCTTTTTTTAGATGGGGCAATGAGAACTAAATGCAGTATTCAAGGGGTGGGCATACCATGGATTCACGTTGTGGCAGAATGATATTTTCTGTCCTATTATCTATCCCTTTTCTAATGGTTCCTAATACTCTGTTTGCTGTTTTGACTGCAGCTGCAAGTTGAGTGGATGTTTTCAGAGAACTAGCCACAATGACTCCAAGATCTCTTGCTTGAGTGGTAACAGCTAATTCAGACCCATCATTTTATATACATAGTTGGGATGATGTTTTCCAATGTGCATTGCTTTGCATTTATCAACGTTGAATCTCATCTGCCATTTTGTTGCCCAGTCACGCAGTTTTGTGAGATCCCTTGTAGCTCTTCGCAGTCTGCCTTGGGATGAACTATCTTGAGTAATTCTGTATCATCTGCAAACTTTGCCACCTCCCTGTTTAGCCCTTTTCCCAGATCATTTATGAATATATTGAACTGCACAGGTCCCAGTACAGATCCTCGGGGGACTCTGCTGTTTACCTCTCTGCATTGTGATAAAGGGGGGATGCCAGCCCCAGCCTTCTCCATCCTCCGGGGGGCAAGTCCCGGGTGATGGGTTAGTGCAGGGGTGGCCAACCTGAGCCTGAGAAAGGAGCCAGAATTTACCAATGTACATTGCTAAAGAGCCCCAGTAATAGGTCAGCAGCCCCCCATCAGCTCCTGCCCCTGCTCCCAGCGCCTCCTACCCACCGGCAGCCCCGCTGATCAGCACCTCCCCTTCCCTCCCCGCACCTCCCGATCAGCTGTTTCATGGCGTGCAGGAGGCTGGGGAGGGAGGAGGAGTGAGGGCACGGCAGGCTCACGGGAGGGCATGGGAAGGGAGGGAGTGGGGGGCCAGGGCCGGGGCAGAGCCAGGGGTTGAGCAGGGAGCACCCCCCCCAGCACACTGGAAAGTTGGCGCCTGTAACTCCAGCCCCGGAGTCGGTGCCTCGACAGGGAGCCGCCTGTTAACGTCTGAGGAGCTGCGTGGGGCTCCGGAGTCCCAGGCTGGCCCCCCCTGGGTTAGTGGGCACAGGGCCGGGAGGTGGCCGGGGCCGTGCCGCAGGCAGCATCTGCTCACGGGGAGCACCCCCGCGGGTCGGGTACCTGCTCCATGGGGAGGTGCTGGCAAAGCGAAGGATGCTGAAGGGAGCCAGGCTGGTGTGCTCCTGGAGCCTGGCTAAGCTTCCCGGTGCAGAATGTCGCCGTGACACGGTTTTAATGAGGACCTAGTGCTGTCCCCGGCAGACTCCAGTCCAGGAGGCACAGAAATGCGGGTCCCTTTGGATGCAGGGCCGCAGCGGGGAACCCCGGCGTCCTGCTCCCACACAGCTTCCTGGGCAATGGCTCTCAGGGATGGAGAATGCCAGGAGCAGCTTGTTGGCACAACGTTGCCGGGCCGGTGCTGAGCGCTGGCAGGTTGTGCTCCGCTTGGCCGAATTCACTGAGCTGAGCAGCCCAGGATGCTGGGAACCATCTGCTCTCGAAGAGCCTGCGGGGGCAGCAGGTCGCAGCTCCTGGGCAGAGCTACAAGCCCCACCGCGCTGCTTGGCAACGGGTCCGGGTACATCAGAGCGAGTACGAATGGGGGACTGTGCTGGGGTGGGGTGGGGGCAGGAGGGAATCCCCCTGGGGGCCCACCCTCACAGGCTCTGTCTACCCTGCAGTTAAACGCCTGCAGCTGGCTTGGCGTGGGCTGCAGATTTGGGGCCTGTGAAACTCGGCCGGCATGAGCCTCATGGGTCGCGGGTCGCAATACTGCGTGCTCTGGGAGTTAGGGGCAATGACCGAGTCGGGAGAGGCCAGCTGACGTCCATGCACCTGATGGTGTGTGCAGAGTGCTTGGGGCAGGTCTGCAACGGTATTTAGGTGCCTAACGATGCAGCTGGCAGGATTTTCAGAAGTGCCTGGCTGCCTAACTCCCAATGGAAACTCTGCCAGCTCCTCTCCTCTCCCTCCTCTTTCCCCCGCTGGGAGTTGGTCTCCTGGGCATCTAGTGACAGTTTTCAGAAGGGCCTAGCCCCTAGCTGCCATCCTGGGAGTCACGCACCCAGCTTGGGGCACTAGCTGCCCTGCACCGCTAGGCACCTAAACACCTTTAACAGTCTGTCCCTTTGTGCCTACCTGGGTCCATTCGCTGCAGGGCACCAGCTGCCAGCTGCAGTCCAAGGGGCTGCTTTTTAAGGCTCCAGCCCTAACAATGGTGATTTGCACCTCATGTAGAGTCGCCCTGTATTGCAGATGGAGAAAGGGAGACCAGAGGTGACTTGCTCAAGGTCATGGGGGAGGTGTTTGCGGAGCCAGGAGCACAGCTCCGGAGTCCCTGGCTGCCTGCCCTCCGTGCAGGCCAATAGCTCACAGCTCTAACGACATCAGTTTCAAGGCGATGGGACTGCATGTCAGCCGATGGGTGCACTGCAGGGTGCGGCGGGCGGCTGTCCCAGAGCCCTGGGCAGCAGTGCCAACGCCCCCTGCCACTTCCCCAGACTGTCAGCTTATGCCAGGAAAGAGCAGGTCGTGCTGATAGAAAGGGCTGCAAAGTTTTCCCTCTCTGGCCAGCCCCTCTGCCCCTGCCTCACAGTCCCAGTCCCTCCAGCTGAGTGTCATGGGGATGCAGTCCCTTTCCCCAGGGCCTCCCTAGGTGGAGCCCTGTGATGAGAGCGCAGGCCTCAGCCACCACCTGCCTCCTCCCGCCTCAGCCCTGTAATCGGCCCTTGGTCCCCCACCCCCAGTCCCGCCCGTGCTGGAGCTGCTCAGGCTGGAGTCTCTCCCTGCCCCCCAGCTCTGCTTTGCTCCCTGTCCTGCTGCCCTACCTTGTGGCCCCTTCGGAAAGGCAGCTCCCCTCTGGATCCGGGTCAGGCCCAGGAACGCTGGGAGCCCTTGGCGCTCCCGGCAGTGCAGACACTGGCCGTACTGATCCGTGCTGGGCCCACTGGGGGGGGGGTGGGGGGGCTGTCCCAGCTTGCGGGCCGCAGCGCACTCAGGGCAGACATAGGGCAACGTACAAATTCCTTTATTTTATTATTTCGTCGAAGACTAGTTGGAGTGGGATGGTCACCGCATGGCTGGCAAGGGACCCCTGCCTGGGCCGGCCCCTGTCCCAAGAGCACTTCTCAGGTGGGTGTGAGCACCAGGAGATCAGGGGGCAGGGAAAGGTTAGGGCCCTTCTGTGCCCCATGAGTTTCTGCAGAGAAGCTAGTGGCTGAGAGGGGGTTGGTGGATCAGGAGGGGGTGTATTCTGTGGGTTGGGGGGTCAGTGCAGGGTCACACATCCAGCAACTGAAGGAACCCTCCTCCCTGGTGCTCTAGTGTGCTCCCCGGAGCTCTCCCCGTCTGGGGGGGCCTGTCCCCCTCCTTATGTGGGATGCCAGCCCCCGGGGTGGGTGGGGGGCTGCGCTGGGCAGCACTATCAGGGGGCTGGGCAGGGGAGAATGGATCCAGCAGTCTGGTGGGCTAACGTGCAGGACTTTACATTCCCCATATCGAGCAAGTGAGCTTGGCTCAGCCCCAGGGCTGGTGTCGCTGCCAGCAGGTGAGAGCCGCAGCCGCCTTGGGCAGCGGGGGGCGCTGGGATGCCCCTGGAGGCTCTGGCGACCCTCTGCCGGCCGGCCGGCCCCAGGGCATGGGCGGGAACACAAGCAAAGCGTGCGCGGGCGTACACCCACCCACAGGCGCACATCCAGCCGTGTACACGCACACTCCCTGTCACGCCTACTGTCCCCTTGCTCAGGTGCAAACAGCACATGGTTCGGTGCGCACGCATGCGCTCATGCGCCAAGACAGCCGTATTTGTACACTCATTTGCACACGCACTCAAAGCCACAAACACGCGAGCCCTCTCTCTCTCTCTCCACACACACAAGATTGGCGCTTCTCTCCTGTCAGTTTCCAGGTGGGGAGGAAAAGCCTGTGACAAGAATCGAGCCCCTTTGAAACGCCCTTGTGGCACAGCCAGGAGAAACCCTGCTGCTGTGTCCTGGGCCTGCAGCCCCTTTGGGGAGCGGGGGGGTCCTCACGTACCCACCCTAGCTGCAGGGACTTGGCCTTGTGAGCTGCTGGCCGGCCCCTCATCTCACCAAGCCGTGAAGTACAGCTGCTCAGGCCAGCAGGACCCCGGGGCAGCCAGATGTGCGGTCGGCTCCAGTCGCCCTCCTCCGCAGAGGGTCGCAGGCCTCTCGGCCTAGTGGTAAAAGTATAAACCAAACGCAGGCCACCCCAGGGGGAGCCCGGGTCTGGCGGATCAGCCCTTTGCCCCATGGTAGAGTTTGGGTTTATTGCAGGTTGCAGACATCAGCCATTCAGCTGTGGGAGCGTCAGACAATGGAAGCAGCTGAAACGAGCTGGGGGGAGCCCTGGGCAGCGCAGCAGGTGACCCCCACTCTCCCTCCTTGCGGGCACGTGGGGAAAATACACAGCAGCGGTGCTGCAGTGCACGGTGCTTCACTGCCCAACAGGTGATGGGCAGGCCCATCACCCGACATGGGGGGGGGTCCTGGAACCACATGGTCACTGCAGCCCCACCCCCTCCCGGTTCACTTTATTTACACAGATGTTACATACATTGTGTGTCCCGTCCCCCCCGCCTGGCCTCAGGCCCCCAGCCCCATTGTCCCCCCATTCCCCTGCTCTTGTCAGCCCTGGCTGCGGGTGCCAAAGGGCCAGTGCCATCGACCCGCACAGTGCCCCCCTCCTAGTCCTGGGCCCCTGCCCCCCCGTTACCCCTCCTGGCACTGGGGTCCCTTGGGCCATGGGGTGACCATCTGGTGCAGTGACTAGCAGACAGGATGAGAGGGTTGGGGTGAGTGTACCCTGTTACACAAACACTAATGCGGAAACACACATGGGCCAACGGTGGCCTGAGACGTGGACGCTGGGGGCCGGGGGGTCCCGCCCGGTTCTGCTCCTTTGCGCAGGCTTGGAGCACGGCGGCGCGGCTCGCTGGCATGCGTTGCATGTATTGCAGTCTAACTGATATGGCTTTAACTATCGGAGAAGGACACAGACGCGAGCGAGACTTTGTGGCTTCTCTCAGACTCAACCCGCAGGCAAAAACAAAACCCCTGGAAAAGGGAAACCCTGGGATGCAATCGGGAACTCCCACCCCAAGCAAAGAAACCCCTTTGGGAAACAGGAGACAAGTCCTGGGCCTCTGAACCCGCCTCAGGGCATGGGGGGGGACTGTCTCTGCTGGTGAGAGCTCGGGCGGGCAGCTCTCGGCCGCTTCGCTCTGCCTGGCTCAGCACTGCTGCAGCTGGGCAATGAGCTTGCAGCCCGGGCTAGGCGCAGGAGAGGCTGCCTGTGTCCTTGGGCGGGCTGGTGCTGCCGTGGAGGGAAGAGCCAGGGCAGGTTTGCCCTGGTGATGGGGGGAGCTCCCTGGAGCCATGCAGGGGCAGATTGGCGCCCAGAGGCAGGAGCCATGAGCCAGAGATACCAGCAGGGGCCGAGCGTGGCAGAAGGACGGGTCCCTCCAGCCAGGGCTCAGTGTATGTCAGTGGGCACGGGTGCCCAGATACCACAGCGATGGGCATAGCAGGAATGTGGGCGAGGGCCAGGGTGTGAAGTGTGCTGAGTGGGACCCCCCTGGAGGCTGCTCAGCCTTGCCACGGGCTGCCCGCAGCCAGCTCAGGGCAGCGCTGGGGAGACAGGTGCTGGCAGCCTTGCCATAATGGGAATCGTTGGGTAGGGGACACCCGGAGGGCTAAGTGCTGCGTCCGCCCTCTGGGCTCCAGCCTTGCAACATGCCAGGATCGTCCCCAGACCCAAGACCCCCCACACACACTCCTTGTGCAGCGGGGCTGGGAGGGGAGGCGGGAACCCCCAGTTCCTTGGGCCCAACTCTGGCCCTTGTTTTTTTATAAATCTCCTCCCCAACCATTTGCCCTAATGGGCAGGGTCTTGAATATGGCAAAGGTGCTCGGCTTGATCCCCCCAAGGGCTGAGCTCGGCCAGGGACGCCCATACGGGCTCGGCTTGGCTGGAGACATGCGGGGGACGTGACTCCCGGGGCACAGGCATGGCTGGGGTCGCGCCTGGGCCTGCGGAGGGGTTGGGGGCAGAGGCAGAGTGGTGAGGAAGGCTTCATCTTTCCTTCCGGCCCCCCCAGTCCCACCAGTTGCCCTGCTACCCCGGGGCAGGGTTATCTGGGGAGTCCACGTGTCCCCCTGTGTACCGCAGCCCCTGCTCCAGGGCTCTCCCCGGTGCTTGCTGCGGCAGGCGAGGGGCAGCGTGTGGCTGCCCAGCACCAGGGGAGGGGCTGGACCCAACAGCTCCTTCCTGAAGCCCAAACAAAATGCAACAGAAATGGGCACAGCAGCTGGGGGGGGCGGGGGGCAGAGCTGTGGGGTGGCGCCGCTGGAAGCCAGGCCTGTAGCCCACCATGTCCCCTCTGCGCCAGCCCCCAGGATGGCCCCTGGAACCTGGCCCGGCAGGACATCTACAGCCGCCAGCTGGAGAGCTGGAACAGGCCAGGGTTGCTTTGCTCCATGGGCTGAGACCAGGCAGGGCCGGGGTTGTGGGGGGCACAGCCCCCAGCCTGCGGGTGCTCTCCTGATGCCAGCACATCCCTAACCCCTGGCAGTAGGGAGGCAGTGTGGGACTGAGGAATGTCTGAAGTTAGTGAAGGGCAGGGAGGGGGCATGGAGAGCGGGCAGAGCCGTGCCTTTCCCTACCGTCTGCCCCACCCTCCGCCCGACATGAGGTTACTGCAGTGAATTTGGTCCCAGTTCGCCCCCCACGCCCGGGGGGATTTGCCAAGCAACCGGCTGGCACTTTGGCACAACAGAACTCCGACTCCGTATGGCTGAGGGGCGAGGGAGGAAGGGGGAGCCCTGGGCTCCTGGCAGTGCCCAGCCTGGGGCTCCGGCTGTCCGGAGCTCAGCAGGCGGGGGGTGGGTTTTGGTCTGGTTGCCTCGTCCGCCCCACTGGAGCAGCGAGGGGTTCTGGGCACAGGGGACACATCTGGGATCTTCCCTTCGAAACTGAGTTGGAACAAAAACCAAATGAAATAAAAGAAATGAAAATCCCCCCCCCGGTCCAGTGCACCCCAGTGTGTGGGGGTGGGCCCGGGCGGGTGGGTGGCGCGGGGCTGTTACTTCTTGAACATGTCCTGGAGGGGCCCGGGCAGGTACTTGAGCACCGTGTCCAGGATGCTCTCCTCCTCCTCCTCCTCCTCGTCCCCGCAGCCTGCCGGGATGGCTTTCTTGGGGCGCGTCAGGCTGCCCTCGCACGGCTGCTCCATCGCCGCCTTCTCCTCTGCCTCCTTCTCCTCTTTCTTCTTCAGGCCGTACTGTGGGGCAGAGACAGACCGGGCCTCTCAGTGCCTGGGGAGCCCCTCTCCTCTGGGGCCAGGTCTGCAGCCACTGGCCTGCCCCAGCATGTGCAGTGCTGTGAGTGTGCAGACACGTGTGCAAATGCACACACACCTCTCTGCGGGTCTGAACACATGCCAGCCCAGCAGAGAGCAGCCTTCCCGTCCATTGCTGATACCCTCAGCGAGCCCCTCCCTGTGAGCCCGCGGCAGGTAACAGCCAGAGCCTAGCACAGCAAGGGGGATTGGCACTGCCATGACGCCAGCCTTGGGCATGTGTCTGGCCAGGCCCACGTTCCTTCACCACCCAGCCAACTACCCTGCCTGCCTCTCCGGGGCAGGCTGGGGGATGCGCTTTGGTCTGTCATGTTTCTAATGCCCACCACCCTGGCATCTAGGTGCTGCTGTCTCCATAAGAAAAAAGCCCGTGAGCAGCGGTGCCCAGAGCGTTGCCCGGGCCGTGCAGGCCGCCTGCCAGGCTCCCGGGGCAGGTGTGGGCCGAAGCCCATCACAGCCACTCATCCTTTCCTCATTTTCCTCCCACAGGCGAGAACGGGGCAGACGGCCAGGCCCAGCTTGCAAAGCGACCAGGCTCCCCGTCCCCAGCTGCCCTGGGGCGCCTCCGGCCACGCAAAGGACACGGTGCAGCTCCTCCCACTCCCGCACGGGCTAAAGGAGGAACCGGCTGGCAGAGCCCTGCTGCCTGAAATCGCCTGTTCCCATCTGTCTCGGCTCACAGGATATTGGAGGCATCTGTGATTAGAGTCGGGCTTCCCCAGCGTCTGGGCCGAGGCAGCTCCTGGCGCGATGTGGCCATGTTATCTGCTCCTCAGCGGGTTATTAAAGATGGCAGATAGCGAGCGACAATTCCAGGCTGTCATGCGGCCGCTTGCAGCAGGCGGGGGAGATAAGGACCCCCCCCCCAGCCCACCCCCGTTCCAAGCTAATCCCCTGCTGCGGTGGCAGGAGGGGCGCGTAGCGAGGGTGGGGCAGAGTTTCGGAGCAGTTGCGAAGGGGGAGAATCTCTGGGGCAGCTTTTCCCCAGTCAGGTCTTGCTGCCTCTCACAGTGTCACCAGTGAGAAAGGGGCCAAGCCTGGGCTGTGTCCAAATCCAGGCTCAAAGGCAGCAGCGCCCGGGGCTCCTGCTGCAAGGGCTGGCCAGGCCAGGGAGGGGGCCATAGGCAGGTGGGTTTTGTGTGTGCCAGAGGGGCTCTGTGGGAGCAAGTGTGTAGCTGTGTGCACAGCAGTGGGTGTGTGAAGGTGCGGGGGGCACTCTGGGGATGCGTACGGAGGGGTGTGTGAGACCCTGGGTGTGCCAAGGGGTGTGTGTGCTGGAGCAGGGTCCCCCTCCATGCAGAGGAGGGTAGGGGTGTTACACCAGGGCGGGTAACACGTGCACTGTGCCTGGCCCCAGGGAACCCTCATTAATTTACCAGCATTTCACTGCTGCGCAGGTGCTTTGGGCCAGGGACATGCTCTGCCTGCGGCTCCCATGGGCCCGGGTTTGACGGGCTCTAGGACACCAGAGCCCCAGCTCCGCCCTGCTCCCCGCAGCGAGCTCAGCAAGGGCCTCCCCTGCCATGCAGAGAACAGGCCCAGGGAGGGCAGTGGCTCGCTTCTCCCAGCCCGAGACGGGAACTGAGTCTCCATGGCCCAGTCTGTCCTCCCCCTCTTTGCTCAGGCTGCCACTTAGTGCCAATGGGGATGTGGCTCTTTAGTGATGGGGACCCTGCCCTACTAAGCACCAGGCTAAGACCCACCAAGCTCATTGCATACATGGGCCACCCATGGGAGTAACACTCCCTGCCCACCTGGGGCAGGTTGGATCCCGCAGCATAGAGGGGAAATGACCCATTTGGCCTCCCCCGCCCGAGTCCCCAGCCTCCTCCCCTTCCTGACTTCCCAGAAGAGGAGCTGTGCAGAGTTCCCCCCCACGCCCGGAGCAAGGCTGGAGAATGTGTGGCTTGTCACCAGCGCAGCTGCCCTGGCTGCAGCCAGCTGAGAAACCATGCAAGAATCCCTAGGCCTGGACATTGGCCATGGCACAGAGACCCCAACCCTAAACCTGGGCAGTGTGCCCGGCACAGGGATCCGTGGCAGCGAGCACAGGACAGGACACTGACTTCCCCTTGGAGCTCAGCACACTGGCGAAGAGACGAGCCGGGATCAGGCAGGCCCCCGGGCAGGGAGTCAGTGATCCAGTGCACAGAACTCTGCACCCCACGGCCTCCCCGACGCCGTGTGTGCAGGACGCACCATCTCCTTCATTGACATGGGACCTGCCGCCCTTCTCGTTACAGGTGGAAGTCGCGGCCCTTGGGATGCAGAGGGCTGGCGGTTGCATGGGAGCTACGCAGTCAGAGAGCGGTCAGATGAAATCCCTGCAGCCACAAGCCCTCCCCTCTGTGCCCATTGAAAAACCCTATTGCTCCCACCACATCCGGCGGGGCAGAGCACCAGGGGCCTGGGGGCCGGTTCTGCCCCACCCCACAGAGTTCAGAGAGCAGTTCCTTCGCTTTTTGCACTTTGAAACTAGCCTGGTCAGTTCCCCTGCCTGGCTCCAGGCTCAGTTCTACTCGCTGGTGGAGCCCAGATGCCCTAAACCACCACCCTCTGCACCACAAGCCTACCGGTCTCAGAGCCCAGGCGGGACGGGGAGACAGAACAGGGCCAGGAGCAGCGTGGGCAGCATGCTCAGCACAGGGCCAGGAGGGGCGAAGGAGGCGAGCGGCGTTCAGGGGTGTCGTATGGGAGGGTCCTGCAGAACTGCTGCATGTCTGGCTGAGCCGGAGTCACTCGAGCCCCGCCCCATGGGGCTGTCCAGAGTCTGGCACTGGGAGGGGGCAGAGGGGCGCTGAGCCAGCTCCGGGGTGTTTGCAGCAGCGGGAGGGAGCAGCAGCTGCCGGGGTGGCCCCGTGACTGCCCAGAGCAGGGAGTCCCTCTCTACTTGGCCCTGCTATGGCCCCAGCTTGATCACAGCGCCAGCCCCCGAGCCATCTCCGCACAGGGCTCCCCCCACTCCCGCATGGGCCCATCAGGCTGTGGCTGGGCACCGTCTGTGTGACACAGTCACACTCCAGCCCCGCTGCCCCGCCTCACCCACCTTATCCCGGATCTGTTGCCGGACCTTCTCCCTCTCGGCTTCCATCCTGGCGTGCTTGGCCTTCCGCTCCTCTTCCTGCTGGCGAAGGGCTTCTTGCCGCTCCTCCTCCTTCTTCTGAGCGTCGGGATCCTTCTCTTCCTCTCCGCCCAGCATCTTCCCCATGTCCTTGGTGGCCCCTGCACAGGACACACCAGGCAGCATGGGAAGGGGAGCAAGGCTGCGGCCGGGGCTCGGGGCTCCCCAAGCAGATGCCCCCCTCCAATAGCTGCCTGGCGCCATCCCCTGCCGGCCCCCGCCTGGCCGCAGCCAGGAGGGGCAGAACTGGGAGAGGCAGGAAGGCGACTAGGGAATGAGACGCTGCTGCAGCTCACCAGCGGCCTGGGGCTGCCCTGCCCCTCCTCCAGTGCAGTCATTTACACCAGTGCGAATGAGCGTGTCACAGGCGGGACTGACGTATCTCCCTGTCTGTCCCTCATTCCTGTCTGCCCAGCAGCCGCGCTGTATTTATCCCATAACGCCCCTGGGGGCCAGGCAGGGCTGTACCCCATCTGGCAGCTGGGGCAGGGAGGCCCGGAGAACAGGCTCTACCCAGGGCATCTGGGGCGGGGTCTCCCAGCACTCACGGGGCCTGGCCTGGAGACCAGCAGGAGCCCTGACTCATAGCTGGACTGCCGGGACCCCGTAAACTGGCAGCCGAGGGGCTTGGGGCACAGAGTAACCCTGGAGTGAGTCTGGGAAGTGCCAGCTGCCAGCACCGGGGCCAGGCATTCAGCAGCGCAGGCTGGTGGGCTGGGAACCCAGCTCTCTCCTGTCATTGAGGCGCAGCTGCAGGGCGGCAGGGTGCCAGCGAGGCTCCAAGACAGCGTCTCGGGGAATCCCCCTCTGCTACGCAGGGGGCAGTGTCCACACCCGGCGCCTGCTGATTCGTTTTCAAACTGGCTGCAGCATGGCTCTGAACAAAGAGCCCTGCTCCACGGCAGAGCCAGGCTGCGGGACGGCCGAGGCTCTGTGCCAGGCTGGGTCTGGCCCGTGCCCTTCAGCCGAGGAATTACAGGTGCCTCAATGGAGGGAGGGAGGCTCCGCCAAGAGCAGGAGGGCAGGCAAGCGTGACACGGCGCCTGGAAAGGCCGGGAAGATCCGTGGGAGATTCTGCACAGGCACCTGCCCCTGAGACATCCCAAAGGCCGCAGCCTGCCACACAGACACCCCCTCCCCCGGGAAGCAGTAGCCAGGAGAGAAGACTTGGGGGCGATTGTGGACAGGATGTTCGCTGACTCCCGGGTTGCAATGAGCCCTGGCAGGGCACCCAGCCAGTGCAGTTTGGGGGCTGCATGGGCAGGGGGGGCTGTGTGCAGGCCTCGGCTGGGACCACCCCTTCCTAGCTGGGCTCCCCTTTGAGGAGCTGAACGGGGGACACGATTGCAAAGCAGCCCCCACGTGCAGCCACAGCCCGTTTGGCAGGGGGCGGGGAGCCTCAGGGCCTGGCAAAGGCAGTCCAGCCTGGACAAACGGTAAGGAAATGTCCAGGAGGGAACAGTCTTACCCTGGGCAAGGCTAGAGGGGCTCCCTCGGGGTGCGTCCCACAGCCTCGGAGCTGGGCAGGGCCAGCAAGGAGGCAGCCAGAGGTGGGTGATGGCAAAGGGACAACGTGGCCAAGCATCAGTGGCAGCTAATGCCAAAGGAACGGGGATGCAGGGAGCCAGGCCAGGGGACAGCCAGAGGGGAGTGTGGCCCAAGGAGCGGCTCCCCTCGCCCCTCCCTGCTCTGATGGGAGGCAGATTGATGTGTTTTGACAGCAGAGACGCGAGTTTACAGGTTAGCAATGGGAGCAGCGAGCAAACAGGCGACCCACGGCCCAGCTCAAGTGCCTTCTCCCGGGAGGGGCCGCGGCAGGTCTGGCCCGGTGCTGGGCAGAGACGTGAGCCACAGAGCTGTGCAAGTCACTCAGCATGGAACCCCGGAGCCGCAGGTCACGAGTGGAGACCCCCCAGATGGGGAGAGACCCTCCACACCTCTCTGGTGGGCGCCCAGGTGCACTGCCAGACCCTCCCTGCAAAGCCCACGGAGCTGGCGGTGAAGTTTTGTCCCCCACGAATGCAAAGGCAAGAAGCTGAGCAGACCAGTTGTGAGCTAGCAAGACGCCAAGGAGAAGGGTCCCTGGACGCGCAGCCAGATCCCTGTCCTGGGCCCAGCACGGCCTCAGAGAGAGCAGGCCCCCTGGGGCCCTTCCTGCCACCTTCTGTGCCAGGGCCAGGCTGAGGGGCTCCCCCTTCCACAGTGGAGCTGCCCAGCCGCTGCAGATGCCAGGCTCCCCTGGCACCCAGCACAGAGACCGCTGGGGGGCTACTGCCCGCAGTGCTGGGCAAGGGGGCGAGGCTGTGCTGCAGACCCACAGTGTGGCATGAGGCGTACCTGGGAGAGGGCAGGCCCAGGGCCCAGCAGGAGGTGGGGCAGCCGGTGCCCGTGCCGGGGAGTGCCCGGGGGCACCAGGCTGGAAGCAGCAGCAGCAGGCTGGGGTGTGACCATGTCTCGCGAGGCCCCATCAGGCTAGGCAGCCCTGGCAACATGCCACCCACTGCTGATACAGAGCTGCCCTGCCCCCCCCGCCCCACACGCATACAGCATCAGGCCTGGGGCTGGGGAGCAGACATTGCGGAGCTGGGGCGCCCCCCGCAGAGAGGGCGAGCCCTCAGAGCACCCTGAGCACCCAGCCTGGTGCCCAGCGATCCCTGGTGCAGTGTGCTGGTCCCTGCCAAGCAGCCTCCCCATGCAGGGACCAGCTCTCCCAGCTGGAGCTGCTCCGGGCTGGCCCCTCGGCCAGGCCAGTGAGGCCAGTGCTGCAGCCTAGAGCCAGGAGGGCAGCGCGTGGCAGCGGCCTGGGGGCTGGGCTGGGGCTGAGCTCGCTGTGGGGAGAACGGCAGAGATGCCATGGAGGAAGGTGCTGGGTTCCGGGTGTTCCAGTTCTGCCTGTCCTAGGGAGCTGGGTCTCTGGACTGCCGGCAGGGGGCTTTCCCCGTGGGGCAGGGCAGCAGCATGGCCGTCTCCTCTCAGACACCCGCGGCCCACCGTCATGTCCTGTGGCTCCGCTCTGCCCCTCGGCCGACGCTCTGGGCCGTGCTTGCAGCCCCAGCCCCACTGGCTGCTCTCTCTGCTGTGTCCTGCCCCTCCCCGGCCTCCCCTGTCACTGCACTCTCCTTCGGTGCCAGGTGCCCTGCTGTTCCCCCGGAGAATCCAGGGGGGTTGGTTTATTCTTACATAGCTGCTGGGCTGTCCCCGTGTCGCTGACCATGCCAGGCCCCTGGGCTCTGCAAACCACTGTTTAGTTTAGTGTCTCTTGTGACTCCACGGGGAAGGGAGCTGCCTCCCCAGGGCCCTTCACATCACTGTCAAGCTACAATGACCTCAACCAGACAGTGATTCCCGATCAGCCAGGGGCTGCTCAGGGGAGGGCAGCCCAGTGGGACTGAGGTCAAGTCTCAGCTCTCCCACAAGCACCCTGAGCTGCCGTGGGCAAGTCTGTTCAATGGGAATCAAAGCCCTGGCCCGTCTTCCCAGGGGGGTGGGAGGGTAAATCCATTACAGACTGGGAGGGGCTCAGATACAAGAGTCACGGGGGCCAGGCAAGTCCCTTCGCTAGGACCCCAACACAAACCAACTCCACTAGCCAGGGTGACAAGGGAAAACGCCAGCCAGTCAGCGAGGCTGGTGGCCCAGGGAACCCTTGTGGCTAACGGCCTCACCTGGCAGCAGGAAAATCAAAACCCCACTGGGAGTTCCCCTCAGTGTGTGATGCCAGAGCTCTGAGTATGAAACAGTTCAGGGATTAAAACAGCTGCCACCTCTGTCCTGCTACAGCTGTTCTCAGCCTGTCGTTATCTAGCCCTTCCGTGTGGCTAGCACCCACCCCCGTCCGCCTGCCTGGGGCTCGCCGGTGAGTTATACCAGGGACTTCCCAGGGTCTCAAAGCTGTGGGCTCCATTCCCAGCAGAGCTGCCGGACCCCCAGGGTGAGTGAGCGGGGCTATTGCTGAAGCGGGGACGGGCTGGGGTGGAGGGTTTGTCAGCTCTCCAGGTATTCCAGGCACTTCCTGGCCTGCCAGCCTGATGCCAGGGGTACAGGATCCCTGCTGCTTCTGGCTTTTTCACGGGACGGGACGCGAGGGAATAGCAGCACCGCCATTAGAGAGAGACTGGGGAGCTGGTGCATGGGACCACAGCTGGGCTCGGCTCCCCTGGAAGAACTCCCTACACCTGGCTCCTGGCACCCAGGGGGAACGTAGACAGAGAGAAACAATCCACATGGGTCTCCCCCTTTAGCAGCAGCCTTTGAGACAGTCCTAGGCCAAGCTCTCCTCAGTGTGGGACCCTTTCTCAGACACCCAGCCAGGAGGGCGTGGGGCAGGCAGGCGGGCACGATCCAAATATGAAGAACAGACTTACCCCCTAATGCTTGTTTCATTACAAAGTCCATGCTGCCGGGCTGGATCAGTGCGCTCTAGACCACAGCAGAATTCTCATCCAGTGCTGTGGGCCGGACTCCTAGGATCAGGTGCCACCTGGCCGGGAAGGAGAGACACAGTGAGATGGGCTGAGAGCCAGTGCAGAGGCCTTTGTGACGAAGTGGGACTGTTCTTAATGTTTCCTCTGAATAGTGTGGGGGTGCCTCAGTTTACCCTATGCAGTTCTTAAGTATCTAGGTGGTGGGGTAAGGGTGTATGATCATTGCAGAGCCCTAGAGGGCAGGTGTGTGCAGGGGTCTGGACACAGAGGATGGCCGACACCCTGTTTCCTGGAAACTGATGGCCTGGGCCCTCCCCCCCTGCAAGGTGAGAGCTAAAGGGCTGGAGAACAAAGGAATCCGGTGACCTCCTGGCCCGGGAAAGGGACAAAGCCCAGAGGAGGAGGGGCTGGAGGGAGTTTCAGTTTGGGACTGGCTGGGACATGGAGTGAAGGGCAGACGTGGTTGTCTGGCTCACTGCCCCCCAAAATGGACCCGGCTGAGGGGTCCTGTTCTCTGTACCTACAAGCTCTGTGTTAGACCATGTTCCTGTCGTCTAATAAACCTTCTGTTTTACTGGCTGGCTGAGAGTCACGTCTGACTGCGGAGTTGGGGTGCAGGACCCTCTGGCTTCCCCAGGATCCCCACCTGGGTGGACTCGCTGTGGGAAGCACACGGAGGGGCAGAGGAGGCTGAATGCTCCGAGGTCAGACCCAGGAAGGTGGAAGCTGGGTGAGCTGTGTGTCCTGCAGACAGGCTGCTCCCAGAGAGGAGACTTCCCCAGAGTCCTGCCTGGCTTCATGGGGAGCAGTTCCAGAGCATCGCCCGGGGACCCCCTGACAGCCAGTACTCCAGAGCCTGGGGCAAGGAGCGTTGGGGTAACCTTGCTCTTGTGATTAGCCCTAGTCTTTGCTGGCGCAATCAGGCCCGAAGGGAACCATGTCACACTCACCAGAGGCAGTGATAGGGCGGGGGAAAGGAATTGTTATTGAGATGCAAATCGTGGGCCAGATTCTGCTCTCACTTGCAATGGTGTAAATCAGGATTAACTCCACTGACATCACTTTCAGGCCCCAATCTCCCTGCACAATCCCCACGGAAGCCTATGGCGCATACGATGACGGGGTGAGCTTGTCTCCGGGGCCAAAGGGAGGTGACTGTAGGGATGAAGTGCAGCAGGCCACGTGGGACTGCGCGGGACACTCCAGTTTGACCCAGATGGATACAGGCCAACACAGGCAGAATCCCTGGCATCCAGAACCGAAAGTGGGTGCCCAGGGCTGTGTTCCTGGCCCCCGCTCACCAGCTGCCTTCGCAGGATTAGTCATGGATCCACTCAGGGAAATAATTAGACTGATAAATACAAGCCGGCTCTTTCTCTCTCATGCACCTCCCGCACACCTAGTCTACCTCTCACACGCTCACCCCACGCTCAGTGTGCGATTGTGCACACACACACACACTTTACACCACAGCAGCTTCAGACAGACTTACAACCATCCTGCTTCCCACTTGCCGGAAGGATCCAGGGCTCCTGTCTGCCAACTGCTGGCCAGACAGCCAGAGGGGACAAAGCCAGCTGGCAGCTCGCCCCAGCCTGGCTGGAATAGCCGCATGACACACCGTGGCCACCACCCAGCCCCCCCCATACAATGGAGCCCTGGATGGAACTAAGCTCTTTTCAGTTGGCAGCTGTACAGAGACGTATGGCTGTTTTTCTGCCTCAGGGACCCACGTGGGGTCCGGGATGGATACTGGAGTGACCCTGTGTTTGGCTGCTGTGGGTTCATGGTACAATGAGCTGACCGGACTGTGTGGGCACCTCTGCTAACTGGCGGGGGAGCAGATCTGCTCTGGTGCTGCTAAAGAGATTTGCTAGATGCCAGGAAAGAAGTGACAAGCCCAGCTACCACTTAGCAAAGCTGCAGCTTTCAGCCCGGAGGTTTCCTGCTTCACACCTGTCTGCCTCGTTACTTACATGGCCCCATTATCACAGTGAGCCGCTGGTGCCCCTGCGAGGTAAGGCAGTGCTGTCAGGGTCCTTTTATGGGTGAGGAGCTGAGGCACTAAGTGCCTTGCCCCAAGTCAGTTGGGGAGTCTGTGGCAGGGCAGGTTATTGAGCCCAGGTCTCCTGGGTCCTAGGCCAGTGCCCTGACCACTAGGCCATCCTGCCCCTCAAACCCCAGCTGGGGACAGATTCCCCTCAAACAGCTGAAAGGTGGCTTCCCCTCTCCTTACGCTGTTTCCATTGGAGCATCCTCACTTCCTGTCAATCCCCTGTCCTCTTCTTGTAGTAACCTGACATTGCTCTTTGCATCAGGACTACCTGGGGTACCTTGCTGTAGCGCCTAGGAGCCTAGTCATGGCCTAGGACCCCATCGTGCTAGGTGCTGTACAAGCACAGAGTCCCTGCTCTATCTGAACCAAAACTCCACCTGTGCAAACAAAGGCCCAAGGACATTGATAAACCTCCGACGCCTCCCTACTGCAGAAGTCGTGCAGAATATTCCCGACAGTCTGCAACTACTGGATGGGTGCAAACCCCACGGAGGGTGTGGCTAGGAGTCACAGGCCCAGAGTGAGAATGGGAACTCTGAGCACTGCTTTAGGCTGCTGCACCGTCTCCCCAGGGCATGGGTGCAAGTCCCATCGCTTGGGACATTTAACCCTAGGCTGACTGAAGCACCAGCTGCACTGTCCCTGGGAGACAGTTCTTGAGGCTCTGCTTCTGCACACCAGGTTGCAGCCTATTCGAGTGGCTGCATTTCCAGATGGGGCTTTACAACAGTGAAAGGCACAAGCTTGACTGGAGGCCCTTCCAGAGATTGCTCATTGCACCCTGCCTACTTTCTGCAGCGACGCCCTCTGGGAGCACCTCGTTCTCGGCTGTGGGGTTAAGTGACTGGAAACAAGCAGGGATTTGATCCTTCGCGGGCCAGCGGAATGTGCCCAGAACCATTTGACGTGAGGGCAGGCAGCACGGCCGTGATGCCAATGACTCATGCACGACCGATCTAACATGCAGATCAGCGCCTTCCTTTCCCTTTCAGAAGGGTTCCGTGTTCCTAACTCCTCTTTGCATATCTCCAGAACCATGCAGGAGACCCCTGGAAGAGCTCCAGCCCATTCCATCCAGTGATGATGGGCAGTTCCTAGACTTAAGGTTGCCTGACGTGTCCCATCATAAGACCCAGTATTCAGCTGCTTGTAAATTTGACAAAGTTTAACCATTTGGGACTTTTCTGAATGTTTCAGCAAAAATGATTCAGCCACTTCTCACAAGGAGATTGGGGGTAGCACCCTGGTGTCAGGAACGTGCCTTTTGTCTTCCCCAGGGAAATCTGCCCAAGTTTGGAACTGCTGGAAACGGCTTTTCACACGAGCTCGGTAAAACCTTTTTAGGGTTCAGCAGCCAACTTCTCTGCAGAGTCCGTCTGCACTGAGCATGCTGCATCCCCTCGCAGCGTCTACATGCCAACAGGACTGCCCGCGCTCTGTCCCCACGGAGCGACTGCACATGCTCCCTCCCAGGGCTGAACAGCTGCCAGGGAACTCTGCTGGCTGCCTGGACGGGATGGAGCCCGGCATGCCCTGGCCAGACAATGGGCCAAATTCAGCCCTCACGTAAATGGAGACCACTCCTATCAGAGTCCGTGGCGAGTGCCCCTGCTTATGCCCAGCTCCTTATTTGCCCCAGTGTATGAATTGATGCCCCCTCATCCCTCCCGCTCTGCAGCAGGAGACAGCCGGCAGAGGAGACTGCCCTCAGCTGGGTTCTCAGAAGGCTGTTTCCATCGTAATGTGGAAGCCAGCTCAGCATTTTCCATTTCCTCGTGCCCCCTGTGAGCCCCTGGATACAGAGGCCAAGTCTCCACGATAGCCTTTGCCAGCTTAGCCGTGTCAGCCAGGGGTGTGTGATGAGGTGTGATCCCTGCTGGCAAAAGCTCCTTGTGTAGACACAGCTATAGCTGCAAAATGGCATTTTTGCCACTACAGAGTATTTTGCTTGAGGGGCTGATACAAGCCCTGCTCGCACAAACCATGGAATCAGCTGCATCCAGGCTGGAGTGCTTTGCTGGTGTAACGTGCCTGGATAGCTAACCCGGCAGAGTGCTCCGAGTATAGTCCTGGCCAGCACATGTGGAGAACAGAGGGACTCCCTTCGGTACCAAGCCCCATGCCTACACTTGCTCGTTGAACTGGAGGGCCAGCTCTGAGGTAAACACTAGAGGGCAGCACGGCCCCATTAGCCCTGCTGCTCTGGGGTAGGGGTTATTGCAGTTCCACCCAATTTCTATTCTACACGGGAACATCTGAAGCTGGAATGAAGCCTGCCGCTTTGGGGAGTGTCCATGGAGGTTTGTCTCAAGCGGTGCTTCCAGCAGCCGAGGGAACGGGTGTTACGGTTGCAGTCACACATTTGCACTCTTACCATGGCCTGGCCTGGGCCCTGGGGCCTGGCCGCTGGAAGGTTTGGGGAACGCCTGGGGTCTACACACACCGATTCCCTGCTTAGTCCTGCCGATTTAATAATTGATTAAAGCAGAAACAGTTCGATCCGTCCCCACCCTCCGACAGCAGGATCTCCCAGCCGGCCCTGCTTCTGGGAGCGAGTGGAGCAGGTGGGGATTGGTACCCAGAGGGCCGTGCAAATGAAATGGATTCAGACGGTGAGCCACCTCAGCATGGCTTAAACCGGTCAATTACAAACGGCTCAGTTACAAACGGCTCACATCTCTAGTGGAGACGCAGCCTGGGTTTATATTAGAGTTTGCTTCCCAAGCCAGGCACCTGCCGGCAGAGCACGGCTGCCTTAGATCCCCTGCACCTGTATCATCATTCACTAGCGTCAGTCCTGGCCTGTCGCTGCTGGAGGGCAGGGGGAGACCCCGTCAACCACATTGCTTCAAACACAAACACAGGTCAGCCACTACAAACCGCAGCAAGCCCCGTGTCGAGGGGATGAGGGTTCTCCTGCTGCTCCCGGGAAAGCAGGCAGCCTCCCCACTCAATTGATTTTAGCCCTGCCTCATATGAATTAGCCACTGTAAGTTCTTG